ACAGCCACTGCTGGGAAGATGGCACGGAGCCGGGTGGGGCTCACTCTCCTGCGCCTGAACTGACTGGATGGCACCCAACATCAACAACACTTACCTGTTTATGTTCTACAGGAGAGAAGAAAGCCCAGGACCGGAAACAAAGAAGTGTCCCAACACAAGGCAGTGCTGAGGAGCACAGGTGGTCATGAGAATAACCAGGTGTGAAAAGGGAGTCTAACCGATGGGCCACACTCCGTCATCAAGCAGAGAGGCGCCAGAGGCACAACCCTTGGTGATAAATCAGCAAAATGGCCCAATGAGCTCTGAACAGTGCAAATCCCCCTGCTCCTGAGGGATGGAAATCTCTACAGAGCCCAACTAATTTCAAGAAAATATTAAAAAGGCATGCATAAGCTCTTAAGAATGCTAACAGATCAAAGCAATACATCATCATGACATGGCAGTGGGCTACGCAACACACCCAGTGAGACTGAAAGCCACGCATTTCAGGGGGATGGGGGTGGGTAGAAGTGTGGCGAGAGACGGGTCGCAAATAAAAACCTACCTGAAAGTCATGCATTAAAAAAGGTTTGATTAGCAAGTAAAGTTCGCCCCTCCCAAAGGAAACTCAGTCTGATGCCCTGTGGCAAGGATCTGAATGGCGTTACGAAAAAAATCCCAAACCAGTTAGAACCATGCATGTTCTGGTCGTCAGTTGATTAGTCAGAAACTAGACCTGTAACGATGGCAGACATGAAGAGGTGTTCTTCTGCTTATCATGTTAATTCAAGGACGGCTCATCTTCCATAAAGATGGAGCTTTCTACTCCCATAAAGAGCTACAGTCACCAACGGCTCAAGTAGGAAGAAGATGTTTTGAAAATGATGATGGTAACATAGGTACAAATGTGCTTGACACAATGGATGGATGGATGGATGGATGGTGATAGATTTTTAAATGATTAAAAAAATAATAAAAATAAAAAAGTTACAGTCTGAGAAACCCACAGCGGCAGGTCTACCCTGTCCTGTAGGGCTGCTATGAGCGAACATCAACTCAATGGCAGTGAGTGAGACCAACCACAAAACTACCCTCGGTGCTGTCACGTGGACTCCCACACACAGCAGCTGTAAATCTTTGTGGGAGTAGACAGCCTCACTGTTCTGGAGGAGCGGCTGGTGGGTTTGAACTGGTGACCTTTCAGTGGGCAGCTCAATGTCTAACCCACAGCACCATCCAAGGGTGAGTCAAAATTCAGTGTATGAATCTTGAAGGAATGAGGGAAACCTGGTGGGTCTTTCAGCATAGGTTCAGGAAGGCGTGTGAAGTGTACCACCCAAATTAGTTCTGCTAAATCTGTTTAAGAGAATTCAGCTTTATAAATCACGTTCAAGTACTTAAGAACTATTTTAATAGTGATTCTAAAAGTAAAATTGGACATTACATAAAATGCAACCGATATTCTTCTCTATCATACAAAGCCTCCAGACGTGAAAGGATAAACACCACCAAGGAGTAGCTATATCTTGTTAGGAAGGCCCTTTACGGGACTGAGCTGGTTCTTTTGCACTGCACAGGCTGTGTCGCATTCTGAAGGAAGCCACACAAGGAAAATATGCCAAACACGCATATGGAGTGCAACCCCAACCCCAAGCCAAACCTCACCGCTGCCAATTCTAACTCATAGCAACTTTATAAGCCAAGAACTATCCCACAGGGATTCCCAAGCAGCAGTCATTTCAAAAGCAACCTGCTACGTCTTCTTCCTCTCAAACGCCAGGGCTCCTTGCACACAGTCCAAAGACATCAAAATAGCAGCCGTGGCTTTCCCTGGCTATGGAGATCTAACTCACTGCTATCCAGTTGCTGCCCACTCACAGCACCCCCACAGGACAGGGGCGAAATGCCCCCTGTGGGTTTCCAAGACTACATCTTTCTGGGAGTAGAAAGCTCCGTGTTTCTCCTGTGGAGTGGCCGGAGGTTTTGAACTGCTGACCTTGCAGCTAGCAGAAGCGTAACCACTACGTTACCAGCACTATGCTACCAGGACTTCGCTGTTGAGATACAGATATCAGGTGTTCTTTTTTCTGACACTCTTTCTGAATTCTCCAATGTTATCTACAATGAGTATATCGGGGGTTTTTTTGGTTGTTTTTTTTTTAATGAGTAAAGTATGATAAGCATTTCTTTGTAAAAGAAAGAGACCCCTCATTATTAAGGTGTCTGCCTACCTTAGGTAAAGCTTGAGAATTTCCCATGGGGCTGCTGTGGTGACAGTCAGTGGAGTCTGGGTTTGAACTTAAGCTGACAAAGGGCGCAATCAAAGTCAGGCAAGGGGCCTGGGGCCTGAGACACGGTGACAGGGGAAGGGCCTGGCAAGGGAAGGGGACTGCAGGGACCAACGGGAACCCAGGGGCTCTTTCTGCATCGGGTAATTCAACCCACGGCCAGAGGGTAGGGCCCAACAGACAACCTTGCAGGGCCCCGGGCAGGGGCAATCGTGACCTCTGTAGATTGGGTCAGGCCCACAGGCCGGGGGCAGGAAGAAGGTGACCCCTGGTAGGTAAGCTTAACTCCCTGGGAGACCACCCCTGGCTGGCTTCTGAGCTACATAATCAGAACACCTGAGCTGCCTAATGCCCTATCAGGTAATGACAAGTTTCCACAGCAGCCAGGTGGCTGTGTGTGCAGGCAAGATAAAATGGCTAGAGACATGCATGTGCATGTGCAAAGTTCTGACTATGCAGGGGGAACACAGTACTCTTCCTGCTACCCCGCTTCCACCGGGGCCCTGCTCAGCACAAGACCGGCCTCATTTCAGAGACTGGCTGCCTCATTTCAAAATCATAGCAGAAAACGCCTTCAGAAATATATGTAAAATGCTTATAAATCTTTATACACACCCAGGCATTTCCCAGGTCCCTACTGAGAAGCAAACCAAAAACCCCAAACTCAATGCCACCGAGTTGATGCGGGCTCAGAGCGACTCTATAGTAAGGTGACCAGATTTAAAGTGGGACACCATTGACCGGGGTGGGGGTGGGGTTTCTTGAATAAAAATTTGGTCTATATGGACCAAACAGACCGTTCCTTAGCTTGTCCTGCATTCTTTCCAAAAATTGGGACTTTTTTCAAACGCCACAAAGCGGGACATCTGGTCACCTTACCCTATAGGGCACGGTCAACGGCCTCTCTGAGTTTGCCGAGGCTGGGTAACGCTTTACCAAACAGGAAGCCTCATCTTCCGAACTGCTGACCTTGGGTTTGGCAGCCTGGTAACGTACTACACCACCAGGCCTCCTCGGTCACTGAGAGGCAGCCAGGCAATATGTCTCACCTACCTGAAGCCAAACATTTAGAAGAGGGAAGAGTGAGGGGGTTCTTGGAGTGAACTCTGTTTATGAGAAGTCAGTCCTGCTTTCAAAGAGCAAAGGTCATGCTTAAAGAACGGATCTGGTGAATGGTAAGACCCAAGAGCGGTCGAATGAAGGGGTGGGGGTGGGGGGGGAGCAGTGGAGACTTCCCTGGGGAGTAACTGAATAACTGCGGGAAAACAAACCCCTGCCCCAGAAAGCATCACGCGCCCTGGCAATAACAAACAAGAAGGTGCTTCCTCCTGTTGCACCAAGCTGTGCAAGCCAAATGACACCTATGGCAAACACATACTGGCTTAGCGGCCTCACCAGAAAGGAACAGAGCACACTGTTTTCACATACGCAGTTTAACATGGACGTCCCAGGTGCCCACTTCAGGAAATCAATGGAAGCTTATACAGGACACCCTGTGAGCATGATGGAGATTAGCAAGGTGATGCATGGCTAGGATAATATCATTAATAAGGACGTGTGGTGGGGGGGGGGGCAGCAGCTGGCTTAGCAGATCACAAGCATGGTAGTGGTTACAGCTTTCAGGGACACTTCTAAGTCCTTGCAGAACAGTTGGTAAAGAACATTGCGCAACACATTTAAAAACAGTGCACAAAATAAGCACTTTTGCACAAGCAGCTTGTAAAAAGCCTGCTGGCGTTAAAGATACTCGTAGTTGAGAAGGATGACACAGAGGTAGGTTCCCCCACCCCACCCCCCAGTTCTAAATCATTTGAATTAAAAATAAAATAGAAATATAGAAAGGCAACTACATTTGGTCTACATTTCTGGCAACTTTCATTTGTCAAAGTAATCTCCAAAGAACGGACTGGGGGGAAAATATCCAATTATGTGACATAACCCAAATCTTTCTCCAGAAGACCTGTATGCAATGAGTTATTGGAGAAACCCTTTTCCTTTGGAAAGGAAAAGGGCCCGGAAGAAGTTAATATAAACCTCGAGGCAGAGCGAGCTGCCAGCAAAGTGACTGTGAGTGATACAAACACAAGGCAGATGTTCTCAAGCGAATTTAACATGGAATTACGCTTGAAGCCTTCCAATCATTACCTGCGTCCACACAAGACAAGAGGGACACACTGGATTTCCAGAATCCATTCATACCATAAAAAAATTTCATTCTTCTGAACCAAAAATAAAACAAATAACTGAACTAGCAAGATTTCAACATTTTCAAAAATGCAATTCTTCACCAATTACCTTGCAACAATGAAGGTGGTGCCTTCATATGACCGATTTAAAACAACATCTGCCCTTCTCAGGATACAACTTCTAGTCAACAAAAAGGTCAAAAGAAACCACCCTTATCTTCAACTTCCTTAATCATTGAACAAGTATCAAACTGATGGTAACCATTAAAGCTGCTCATTGGAGGCATTTCAGCTATAATTGCAAACTAGATTCACTCAAGAATATGATCGTTATTAGAATTGGATTCCTAGAAGTTGCTGCTTAAAACGCTTTCTTTAGCACACTTTAAGGCTTTCTCAGCTATTTCCTGGTTTTCTATTTCTGAAATTTTTTTTAAATCAGAAAAGCAATTTTCCAAGTTATTAAAGTAATGTGGGAGCTCTGTTTTAAAGCAGGAGTTGTAGCTGTGCTTGGCTCCACCTCCTAGAGGGTTTGCGGTTCTCCTACCTCAGTGCATGAATGCAATAGATCATTCTTGGTATGTTTTTCCGATCATAGACATCTGTGGTTTCTGGATAAAATATCTGGGAAACAAAAGAAACGATGAGTTTATTATGGTTTGCCTTGCACAGTTATTTTAACTCCCCACAGAACCCCTGCTTGACGGTCTTTGTGATGCTAGATTTATTTAAACGCTGAAGAAGCTCCCAGCACGTGTCTCATCTTGGTCTACAGAAGGTCCAATCACCGTGTCCTCAGCCTGACAGCACCCTGCCTGGCGGCTCAGAGGAGAGTGGCGGGGGCACGGCCTGCCAGGCCAAGAAGGCTGACTCTGCAAGACGGGCTAGCTTAGCTTCAGGGCACATGGTGAGCGGGTGGGAGGAAGGGGTGGGAGGTGGGAAGAAGTGAAGCGGTTTCCAGAGGGTTTAGCAGGGCTGTCTCACTCGTGTGACTGCTCAGAGGCCCCACGAGAAGGGTATCTTTCTTGGGCCCCTCTATTACACTGTTAAACAATAAAAACGTGGCTACATAGTTCTATAAATTTTGTGGGGTGTGCACGCACACGAACACACTCGGCTTTCCCCCTTCCTGATGGAAGCAAGACATCCTCACTAAACGAAATCTGGAAAGCATAAAAAGTACAAAGGGAAAAACGACCTATAATCTCACCTCTCAGATAGGCACTTTTTTAGCATTTTGGGGCTATTATAGTCTTCCAGGTTTTTTTTTTCTTTTTCCTGCACAAGCCTCTGTTTATGTATGTCTATGTATAAAAACAAAACTTTACATATTCTAAACATGCTTTAAGTGAAACAGGATACACTTATGCTCCATCACCTTCACAAAAACATCCGTTCTAACGGATGCCTATGAATGGGTCTTTTATATTTCTGAACCACAATTTAACCAGTTCCCCAATATTTGAATATGTATTTCATGCCTAATTTTTTCCCCGTGTCGCAAATCACTGTAATGAACATCCCTGAACTTTGGGAACACCTGATTATTTCTTTTGGATAAATGCCTAAATATGGAATTATGAAATTGAAAAATATGAACATTGAAGGTTTTTTAAAAAAAAAAAAGCATTTCCATATTCTTGGTAAACTTAAAATCAAAAGCCTGATAAGAAACAGATCGTAAGCTGGGGCACCAGGCTTCTCTAATCCTAAACACCAAGAAACGGACCATCAAGCTGGCAGCTTCTAAGAGTAAGATAAGCATATCAGCATCGCTCACTTTCAATCCATATTTTTTAAAACTTAACATAAAAACAAGAACAAATCATGTACCATATGGGAGTAGTTGATATTCAGATGCAATTTTCTATTGGAAATGGCCAAACAAAACAGCAAGAAAGAAGCCAAGTTTCCCAAGTTATTAATGGGAGGAATACAATTAATCATAAGAAGGATTTCAGCAAAAATGATGGAGGCATGAGAAGGCGCTAAGAGAGTATAATGGAGGCAAACAGTTGGCACCCAAGGTGGGGCTCAAACCCACAACCCTGTGATTAAAAGTATCAAGCTCCACCAACTTAGCTAGCCAGGCAAGAAGGTGATGATATTGGATACTGCATAACCAACTAACATCTCCCCTCTCTTGGAGACATGGTTTTGGTCACAGTATACATGCATTGCTGACGCTCCCGTTGGGTTCTTATAGGTGCAAAGCAGTGATTGGAATGTTTCATCTGTATTGGCTGATTTGCTGCTGCCTTCTTAGGGGTGAAAAAGCTTCAAAATGTTATACCTAAGGGGATTTTTCTTGGGACTAATTTGCTAGTTCTTTAACCAAAAACCCTGCAAACTCACTGGCATCAAATCAAGTCTAACTTAAAGTGATCCTACAGGACAAGGTGGAATGGCCTCTGTGCTTTTCTGAGATTAACTTTTTATGGGAGTAGAAACCCTCATTTTTCTCCTGAGGAGCTGGTTGGTGGTTTCAAAGTGCTGACCTTGTGGTTAGCAGTCCAAACCACTAAGCCACCAGGGTTCCAGCCGTTCTTTAAAGTCAGTAAGAAAAAAAAACCTACACACACACACACACACACACACACACACAGTATTTAAAGGAATGTCTCTGTACTGAAACTGATTAACTCATGGCCATCCAGTCCATGGCGACTCACAGTGACCCTACAGGACAGGGTACAACTGCCCCAGCGGGCTTCTAAGACTGTAGTTCTTTATGTGGGTTGAAAGCCCTGTCTTTCTCCCTCAGAGCAGCTGAGGTGGTTTTGAACTGCTGGCTTTGCAGTTAGCTGCCCAACTCATAACCATTAGACCACCAGGGCTCCAAGAGAACCATGTGGAGCCTAAGGAATGTCAAAGCCCTTTCCGACTTTGTCCTAACCTGTCCTAACCGTAAGAAGTAGAAGAGGATGCCCAATTCGGAAGAGCATTTTCAGCCTCGGAGCTCAACTAGGCAAGAGGAGGACAAGTGCACCCCATCTCGCCGTGCTGTTGGCCAGCCCCCTTCTGTCTTTCTCCCAGAGAATCACTGTGAATGTGCCTTCCTTTGGGAAGACAACAGGGTTGATGTGGAGCTCAGCGTTGTTAGGGACTTTGAAGTCCGTTTTTGACGTGTTACAGAATAGAACTGCCCCAGAGGGCTTTCTAGCCTCTGGGTGGGTTCGAACTGTGAGTCTTCCCTTTAGCAGCCGTGTCCGTAAACTGTTTCCCCACCAGGACTTCTTTATGGTGATCCAGAGTGCTTCTCTAGGACCTTGTACGGCGCTAGGCACAGAACTGGCCTCTGTTGGTGAATGAATGTCAGCAAATATGATGGAGGCATGAGAAGGCCCTAAGAGAGTATAATGGAGGCAAACAGTTGGCACTCAAGGTGGAGCTCAAACCCACAACCCTGTGATTAAAAGTATCTTTCAAATACTTGAAAGTCAATTGAGTCAGTGTTACTCTCTGACCCCTACAGTAAGGCAGGGATGATCGTGTAATTAAAATCAACATTAAAACAGAATCTGCTATGCAGATTCCTTGCTTGGCCCAGAATGAAAGGAAGCCTTACCCAATAGCCACGCGGTTTAAAAAGGCTGACGTCCAGACTATCAAGCACACTGAGACGATCCTAATCAAGAATGGAACACCTTCCTCTACACCAATTCTACTTGAATCACTTCTTTCATTAATCGGTTTGCCACCCAGGCCCATCCTTCTAACTCACTGCCATCGAGTCCGTTCCAATTTGGAGTGACCCTGGAGGACAGAGTAGAACTGTCCACTCTGAGCTTCCGGAGTCCTGGTGATGGAGTGGTTACGTGCTGGGCTGCTAACCAGAGGCCCACAGTTGGAAACCACGAGCTGCTCCGTAGGAGAAAGACCGTGTTTCTCCTCCCATACGAAGTTACAGTCTCAGAGACTCACAGGGACAGTTCTACCCTTCTCAGAGGACCACCAGGAGTTGGCCCTGACTCGATGGCAGAATTGGGGAAGCGGGTGGAAGGGCATACAGAACTCTATGCTACTTTTTAAACTTTTGGTGAGTCTACAGTTACTTCAAAATAAAATCTTTCAAAGAGAGTGTAGTGTTTCCAAATGTCATCACGTTTACTTCCTCATCTCCCGCTTGTCTGTTCCCTTCACAAGCCTAAGAGTGCCTGCGCTTTGAACCCAACAAGCTCTGCACAGAGGCAGAACGAACTTTTAAATCCAACTATTTTAGACACCTATCTCAGCACTAAGAGCTATAGCCACCTAGATTTTAGAGTTTACAGCGATATCATTTATAACAATAATTTATATTAAAAGGTTATACTTTATAACAATAATTTATATTAAAGGTATAACTATCTAACAACACATCACTTTTAAACAGCTTTATTGATATGTAATTCACATATCATACAATAGTCCTATCAGTTTAAAAAGAGTTGTACCATCATCACTACTTACCATCTTTTAAAGTATAAATACTCTGCTGTCCAATTGACTCAGACTCAGGGCAACCGAGTGGAACTGTGGTCCACAGGGTTTTGCTTTTTTAAAATTGTGATTGAAGAGCAAATGTACATGGAAAACTACCCTTTCCACTTACAGTTTCTCTCTGTTATTCTGAGACAATGATTACACTTTCAGAACATGCAGGCTTCCCGGGAGTTCCATCCTGGGCGTTCCATTTTCCTCTCTTCCCGGCTTCCTTGCTGCCCCCTGACCTTCTTGTCTGCACTCTAGGTCTCACTGGGAGACACAGTACTCATGAGGGACAGGATTTATTTGATGAGCCAAGCTGTCTCTTGGCTGGCGAGTGACTGCCAGGAGTTGTTTATGTGTCAAGTTTGATGAGTATCCCAGGGCAATAGTTTTCGCTGGTCTCTATGGGGCAGGAAGTCTGGATCTTTTTTCCCAGGAAGTTGAGTTTTGGTCTATATTTTATTCCCATTCCACCACTCAGGATGGTTGGTTAGTGGGAGCCGGGCACCACGTCTAGCCTTCTGGTCTCAAGATGGGTGAGACATGGTTCATGTGAACTATCAGTGCTATAGACTCCCTTCCGAGTCCTTGTTCCCTCCTTTCTTTTTTGCTCTAGATACAAACAATCTTCTAGTGTTAGCTTAGATGGCCCCTTGCGAGGCTGTAAGACCCTAAACACTAGTTACCAAATAACGTTGTAGAACATTATCTTTTATGAGCTATGGTAGTCTACTTGCCTCCTGAGACTATGGCCCAAAGTGCTCAAACCTAGTACCCTAATCCCTCAAGGTAGCGGGTGATATCCACTCAATGTAAAGTAATAACCCACGATCCAGCAAAGCCACCCCTAGGCACTCCAGAGAACTAAAACTCCTGACATGAGCAGATATATGTACACCTATGTTCACTGCCGGGGCCCTCGTGGCACAGTGGGCTATGAGTTCGAAACCACCAACCGCTCTGTAGGAGAAACATGATGGTTTCTACTCCTGTGAAAGTTTGCAGTCTTAGAAACCCACAGGGGCAGGTCTACCTCATCCTACAGAGTTGCCATGAGTTAAAATTGCCTCAATGGCAGTAAGTTTGAGAGATGTTCACTGCAGCATTATTCACAATAGCAAAATGGTACAAGCAGCCTTACTGCTCATCAACATAGAAATGAATAAACACACTGAGTGTGTACGCACAAAGGATTACTGTGCAGGCATAAGAAGTAATGATGAATTCTCAAAATACATTATCACATGAATGAATGTGGAGAGGATTCTGCAGAGTGAACTGTCAATCACAAAAGCGGAAATCTAGGACGATCGCAGTATTACAAGACCTAGACCAGGCTAGGTCGACATACAGAAGACCATCCTTTGGTGGTGGTTAGGGGTGGAGGGAGGTGAGTGGGAAGCACCTCTGTGTCTATCTTTTAGTTTTCAGTTCTCCCATTTAGGATTCTGTAGAGGCCTTTTCTTTTTTTTCTCGAATGATTTTATTAGGGGCTCCTACAACTCTTATCACAATCCACACACACATCAATTGTGTAAAGCACATTTGTACATTCATTGCCCTCATCATTCTCAAAACATTTCCTCTCCACTTAAGCCCCGGGCATTAGGTCCTCATTTTTCCCCTCCCTCCCCGCTCCCCCCTCTCTCATGAGCCCTTGATAATTTATAAATTGTTATTTTGTCATATCTTGCCCTGTCCGACGTCTCCCTTCACCCACTTTTCTGTTGTCCGTCCCCCAGGGAGGAAGTCACATATAGTTCCTTGTAATCGGTTCCCTCTTAACTACCCACTCTCCCTCCCGTAGAGGCCTTTTCATGTTTTTTGTTCAGTTCTTGTGTTTCTCCTGCCTCGGGCAAGAAGTCATGCTACCACATTAACAGACTCTGCCAGATCCTAGTCCATGGCGAGTGTCTGCACCCCAGCCCTTTGGCTGCCCTGTTTAGGTTATGGTACAAGAAGGTTTACCTTAGGTAGACCAATAGACTCCATCGCTCTTAACCACTGGACAGTATTATCCGTGTGTCGGAAATGAAGACCGGACCGCTAAGAGAAAGGGAAAAGGACATCACACAACAATCCAAGCCAGTTGTTATCGTTGTTTCTTTTTACTCCCCATTACCAGGATCCTCTCCCACTGCGCTTCTCCTGGAATAGAATTATTTATGTTCACATAAAACAGCTAGAGACAACAAGAAGACAGGACTAAACTTCAGCAACACTCTGACCCCCTCAGATGGCTGGACCAAGCAGTTTCCACAAGTACACTCATCCGAGATGGTTCTCACTAGAGTTCTCAGAGAACCCCCCCTAATGTCAATCACATGCCTAGGGACAGTTCGTGAGCCATGTGTGAAGATGTGCATGTACGTGTGCCTGCATGAGCAAATGCTCAAAGCTGTCATGATTTTGGCAATTATGGCCGAGTTGCCTATCCACTCCTGAAAAAAAAAAATTATTTTTAAAAAACCACTAATTTTTTTTCTATTTACGAATGTAATAAGATTGCTCTTGAAAATAAGAAAAATAAAGATGAAGACAAAAACCATCCCACAATCTCAAGCTATTATTAAAAACTACCCCTCCTACCACTTAACCCTAACCTTGGCCTTGTGGAAGAGCGGCTCCTTCGATGAGCACACCCCAAAGAACCTCTTTTTCTCATTAAATAAAAATGTTTCTATATCTTTTATCTTTGTTCTAATTAGACAGTATTTTTTTCCTGTTTTTTTTTTGGGGGGGGGCAGTGTATAAATACAGGATTCTTGCCTGCACCTCACTCAGTTGTAACATGTAATGAACCATTACTATTTTTAAAGGATATTGCATTTCTACTTAATGACTTGCCCAGCCCAATGTTGGTTCTTTATTTTAATAGAGGCACACAGAAGAACGCAGGGCCAAGTTCTATCACATAATGCACATCCGCGGGCAGAAGGTCTGGCACTGTCCACCTTCTGAGAGCTGCTATAGTCATCGTCATTGAACAGAAGGTAGTTTTGTTGCTGCCAGCTCTTGTACAAGGCAATGAACATTTGGCAGATACTTATGCTATTTCACAAAGCCCATGTCCTCCCTACCACTCGGTCATAGCACTCTTTCCCCCCTCTTCTGATACTTTGCACAATCGATAATGACGCATGCCCTTCCATTCTGTCTCTGAACTGTGAGCTCCATGCAACCAGGACCATGTCTGTTCTGCTGACCACATGCCTCCAGTGCCTGGAGCAGAGCCTGGCACCCAGCAGGCACGGACTGGTAAGTACCATATATACTCGTGTAGAAGCCGCATTTCCCAGCACATTTTGAATGCTGTTTTGTGGTAAAATTAGGTGCCTCGGCTGATAATCGATCTGGCTTATACTCGAGTGTATATAGTATTTGTCGTATGGATGAACAGTTTACCCTATAGGTATTTCTGTCCCAGAGTAATTGTCTTCTTTCCCTGTAACGCCTATGGAGTCCTTAGTGGTGAAAAGAGTTGACACCCTTGGCTGCTGCCCCACAGGGTGGTGGTTCAATCTACTTCCAAAACAATCACAGCCATTGAAAATCCTACAGAGCAAAGTTCTAGTCCGACACCTAGGAAGTCATCGTGGAGCGGAAATCAACTCAACCACAACTCGTTTTATTGGTACAACGGTTGTCAAATCTCACTGCTCCTAAGAGGTGGGGTAGAGGGAATCCCCTGTAGTTGATTATGAAGAATGCTGCTTTTGGGCTCTCACGCTAAGAGATTCTGACTCAGTAATCTTGGATGGAATCTAGGAATCCACCCAGTGTACATGCATCCTGTCAGGGGGTTTTGCAGGAGGTTTGAACATCACCCTTAGGAATCTAGGCACAATGCTCGACCCTAAGTACTCTGGGTAAGTACTGAATAAAACAAGGAAGCAAGGGAGATCTACTGCTCCTTTTTACCCCGAACGCCTATTTACCAAGCACCTACTATAAAGGGGTGTAGAGGGCTATGCCTTGTGCTAACCACAAGGCCGGTAGTTTAAAATCACCTGTAGCTCTATGGGGAAAAGATGAAACTTTCACTCCCCTAAAGAGTTACAGTCTCGGAGACCCGCAGGGGCAGTTCTAGTCTGTCCTGTAGGGTCTCTGTGAGTCGGAATCGACTCAATAGCAGTGAGTTTGGAGTGTTTGGGTTTTTTTTACTACGGGCCAGACTCGACACCATTCACTGAGGCATTGGTAAGGAAAGGGCCAACCCAGTTCTTCCACAGCTTGCTGTGGCACAACTGAGACAGGCATCAGCACACAGAGCTGGGGCGAGTGGCAGAGGCAGTGAGGGGAGGACCCTCACATTTAGGAGGCTGACCCAACTTCACCAAGGTGTCCCATGGGATGGACAGCACGAAAGCTCCCCTTTGCTTCAACGATGGTCGCCAAAGCCATCTGTGCCAAGACTGAGGCTGTTGGGGCCCTGGGGCCGAGCTTCACCATGGGGACATGCTGCCCAAGAGACGGGTACTATTTTACGGCCTTGGCAGACGCTGTGCCGAGAGCCCAAGTCGACAGGATTCAGGGTTTCCAGATGGCACATTAGGAGGGTCGGCCTGGGCTAGTGAGTGTTCCCTCATGTCCCAGCCTCTCCGCCACAGTCCCATGATTTAGTGCTCTTTGGAAAGGACCACGTGGTGGGCTTTCGTCCTAAAGAACAGGACGTTAAGGCGCCTGCTCACAAAGCCGATCTCTCTTCATTTCTGTAGGAGATGCAGAAGGCTTTAAAATAAGGACACAGGACTACCTGGCAAATCACGGGGAAATTTCCATCAAGGACACTGAGTACTCTCTCTCAGGGATTTAATAAAACATAACACAAACTCCGCTTTTTCTTTCTTTCTTTTTATAATGTAGTGAATTAATGGCAGGGTAGTTCCCATGTGTCCTGTGTCCCCCCCACCCCCACTTTTAACTCTCAGCAGCGAGGAGGGGCTCCCACGCCACGGCTGGCATCAACCCCCCTCCTTCTGCCACTTCCCTTCGCCTGGTATCGCTTCTTCTGCTCACCCAGCTCGCCAGTGGCCCTGCGGCGCTGCCACACAGCACCGTTTCCCCTCTCACCATCTGCTCCACTCGGGAGTCGCTCCTTGCTGGGGCCCTACAGGAATTTCATTTTGTAACAAAACACTGACAATTTGATTTTCCTGCTCCTATCTCAAATCATAACCCAAACCAAAAACCAGTTGTTATAGCATCAGCTCTACTCAGGGAGACCTCAGGGTTGTCCCAGAAGTGTGCTCCAGAGGATTCTCCGTGGCGGATTCCTTAGAAATCAATGGCAGACCTTAGTTCAAGGCACCTGTGGGTGGACTTGAACTGCCGACCTTGCGGTTAACACATGACCTGTTTGTACCATTAAGGGGCTCCTCCCAAACAGTACTCCCTGCCACTGGGTTGATTCGGACTCACAGCGACCCTACAGGACAGCGTAGAACTGTCCCTGTGATATTCTGGGACTGTGTAACCCTTGAAGGGAGGAGAAAACTTCATCTTTCTCCCACAGAGCAGTTGGTGGTTTCGAACTGCTGACCTTGCGGTTAGCAGCCCAATGCATAACCCATTCTACCACCAGGAATCCCTACCAAAAATCTTAGGTTGGTTTAAATCATATGTGTGTGGGGGGGAAGGGGAGTGGGTGGTGGTGGCAGGGATCTCTGAAAACAAGAGAAGAGTACTTGTTTACGTTGCCCTGAGGGAGTCCAGACCGAGACTAGGTGGCAGTTGCATTTAAAGTGTATGCTGTGTCAGGAGGAGGAAAGAATTAGCCCAGGCAGCTCATCAAATTCTGTGCCAAGGTCAAAGACTCCAAAGTGGTCTCTGTTTCTGGGACTGCTTCTTACTGTCCACAATGCCAGACAGAATCCCGCCACCAGCCCCCTTTTCAGACAGGCTGAGGCCCAGCCAAACTGCCCCTCCTCGCTGCTGAGAGTTAAAGGAGGAGAAAGGGACACGGAACATTCTACAATTCTCCTTTGAAGACAAATCTAGTGCAGGGGGCAGGGTGTCACTAATGTTCTTCCTCCTTCATTCTTACATAGGAAATTACAACTATTTAAGTCAGGAGGCTGAATTGCAAAAGGAAATCCTCTGGACTCATTACACAACCTTAATGAAGAGGAGCCCTGGCCAGTCTTATCTCCCCGCTCCCCTGATTTCACAGCAGATCCCCCACACCCTCCTTTTCTCCATAGTACTTCCATGAGCACCTCTGAAAGGCCAGGATGTGAAAACCCAGGTGGGACTGGTGTTTGTTTTAGCTCCGTCTCCCTCATGTGCTTCCTCCTCTTCAGCCCCAAACCCTTCTAAATGCGGTGCTATTGATTTATTCATTCATTACTTATTTATTATGTCTGTCTGTCTGTCTAAAGGGCTTTAAAGAGTCTTTTATTTGTCAGTCTTTTCCAAATTTTCCTGGAAACAATTCTTGAGACACACAAGGAGGTTAGTCTCATTTTATTTAAGACCAAACAGAAAGGCATTCCTGCCTATCTTACCACTGCTTTTTATGGCCTTGGGCCTCACTCTTTGGGGCCCCCACGTTGAGTCCCAGCTGGGTATCTGGTGCCTTGAAGAGAACACAGGAATGAAGCATCTTGGTGGAGAGAACAAAGAGAGCTAAAGAGTGCCCCCTTCTCCACTGACCAGCCCTAATCGAGCACACAAAGGACCTCAGGGAAGTGGGAGGGGAGCGGGAGGTCCAGCAAACCAGAGGTCTCCCCACCTCAGCCAGAGACAGAAACCCTTGGCCTTTAAAGGGGCTGCAGCCTCAGGAATGATTACTATCAGGCTCCAAAGGTCAAGGATACACGGCCCCTGCCCCCCCCCCCCTCTCCCCAATTCTACTAGAAACACCAAGGGTAAAAGGAGGGAAAGGAAGTGGAGGACCAAACGTTCCCTGTCGGCTGAAAGCCCAAATCCACGGACCCCAGTTACCTTATAGCGCGTCTGCTCGACGTCATAGATCTTTTTGTCCGATACCATTTTAGGGGCAAAGAACTTGGCCAACTTCGCAAGGTAAACTCCATTCCTGAGTCCTTCTTCCAGTTCGGTGGTCGGGGGCAACTCTTCCACTAAGCAGACCTCCATCCACCTGAAAGGATTGAAGCAGACAAAAGGTGACTCCCCCGGTTGGGTGACTGTGAATGAGAGGGAACACTCCACTGTGCGTATGTGTGTGTGTGGGGGGGCATCCATGGAGCAGGATGGTCAGCACCTCCAGGTGTCTCAGGTGAGAGGCGAAAGCTTACTGGGTGGGCCCAGGGTGCAGAATAGAGATAAATGCATCCAAGTGTTTAACTCCCTCCAGCCAGGGGCCTGTGTCAGCCTCACCCCTATCTGGGTCCTTGCCAGTTCTCTCATGCCGAAGGGGAAAAAAGCCAAATTCTTTTGCATGGGTAGAATGAGTCCTACTGACATTAACACACACACACACACACACACACACACACACACACACACACACACTCCAAGTATAAACTTCTCTTAGCAGATGTACTGTGGGAAAAGCACAGTCCAGGTACTGCCTCCATCCAGAAATGAGTCAGGAAAAAGGGGCCCCAAACACTCAGGAAGCAAGCGCAGTCTTCTCAAAGTAACATACACTTTTTCTTTTTCCTTTTTCGATACCAAATACTCTGTACCTTCTGGGAAAGATACCGTTCTTACCAGGTCCTGAACAAAGATTTTAGAACATGTCAGATTACATCTTAGGACCTGGTGCCAGTCCTGTGATTAAAGGGCACCAAGCCATCCATGCCTGGTTCAAGGGCACACAGCGGGTGGGTGGACAGGAAAGTCCCTATTCCACACTGGTGTGCCCAGAGGGGGCCAGTCTCAGGATAATGCTCATTGAATGCCTGCTCTCCAGCGGCGGGGGAAGGGGGGGCGCGGGGAGTTCCCAGTGCCCCCTGCCTCCGAGCCATCAATCCAAAAGCAAATCGTCAAGTCTTGGTGAGCACTGGACCTGTACAGCCAATGCCCCAGAAGGTCATTAGTGCAGCAGCCCCTGGTCCTACAGACCCTTTAGATTCTAAGACAGCAGAGCCTGTTCTGCACCATCGGCTGACCCAGACATAGCTGGGAACGCCATACAAATGCCTGAACTGCGTGAAGCTCTGGATAATGTAGTTTCAAAGCTCAGGGTGGCCCTCATCAGCATGGTCTATTTATCGGTTCTTGTTAGCTGCCCTCGAACCCATCCAGAGTCACATCTACTCATGTACAACAGGCTGCTGGCTGCCCACCAGGAGCCCTTCCCAGGCTCAGTTGGGGATTGGACCGCTGTGACGGTTCCACAGGGTTTCCACTGGTTGATTTTTGCCACGTAGCTGCCAGGCTTTTCTTCGTAGTGCATCTGAGCCTGGAGGCTTTGCTGAAGGTGCTCAGCATCACAGCAACCCGCAGGCCTGCACTGCAGGGCAGGTGATGGCTGTGTCTCAGGCTCAAGTCTGGGTGTTCTGCACAGAAGGGGAGAATCTCCCCTGGAACCCCCAATACCCCTGACTGTGGACCAGGCACCTCCAACCCCAGACCTATGAGAGAAGTAAACTCAAGTGCTTTCTCTTCGATTGCATGGGATACAATTGAGAAGGCAGCATCATTCCAAAGAAGCCCCAGAGAGCAGTACCAGAGAGTCACTGTGTCCAGTGCTGCTGGGCAGCACAGAAAAGGAAAAGAACGCTTGTGAGTCAAAGGGAGCCAGTGGGTTCACATGGGAGGAATCATGGTGGTGGGAGCTGGAGGTGGCCTAGAAAAGAAAGTACTTGGAAAGGTAAGGAGAGCGTGGGGGGATGGGGGCCGGCAGGGCACAGTAAAAGCATAAAAGAGGTATGGCTGACTTGTGTTGGAAACCTGGGCCCAAGGGCTCCGGGGCTGGGACACTGAAGACAACACTGACTTGGGACATGAGGTAGAAAACCAACCCAACCCACTCGCTCACTGCCATCAAGCACTGAGTCCATTCCAGCTCTCAGCAACTCTACAGGCTAGAGTGGCACAGCCTCTGCCGGGTTCTGAGCTGTAAATCTTTACAGGGAAGACAGCCTCCTTTTTCTCCCAAGGAACGGCTTGTGGGTTCAAACTACTGACCGTGAATTTAGCAGCCCAGTTCATCACCCACTTCGCCACCACGGTGGAGGAGGGCTGATGTCTGTTGCCACAGGAACCAGGGAGCTCCTGGCGGCTCCACAGCAGAGGCGTGGCATGCTGACAGTGGTCATTAGAGAAAAGTACTCTAGTGTGATGGGTGGATGCCCGGGGACAAAGCGCTCAGTCGGGGTTTCCCCACCCGAGAGAATGAAGGCCTGGACTAGGCGGGGAGAAATGAAGATGAGGAAAACCCAAGAGACATTTCAAGGAAACAGTACCAGGGAGTTGGTGTGAATTTAGAAAAGGAAGTTGAGGAGGTATGTGATGAGCCAGAGAGAGAGCCACACCCTGGGGAGCTCCCTGCACCTGGACTTCGACCCCTGCCTGCATGTGGCCTCAGGCAAGCCCCTCACCTCCCTGGGCCTCCGTTTTCTCCTCCGAAAGGGGAGAAATGGGAAGGGTCAGATGATGACGTCCTGCCCAGCCCTAAAGTTCTAGAAGACTCTACATCTGGCAGCATGATGGTTTTGTAGAGAACAGACACAAGGAGGTGATGAGCTTTGATCATATGATGTACAGGTGACTAGGAGAGATTTGGGTTATATATAAAACCAGTTAGGCATTGTCAAAGTTCAACCACCCCCCACCCATTTTAAAAATAGTTTTACATAATCTACATATCTTACAATTCAATCATTCAGTCCTATCAAGAAGAGGCGGGCAATCCTTACCACAATCAATGTTAGAACATGTCCTTCTCTTTTGTACCATTGTTTTTAGTTCCCCGTCTCCCCCAACTCCTCTGCCACCCCCCCCAAGAAACCATTAATCCAGTTTCTGTCTCTACAGATTTACCTACCCTGGATCTCATAGAGAGAAAAACATGGACAGCAACAACAACAAACTTACTGAAAAAACCCACACAAACACCCTAACTGTAACAATGTAAAACAGAAAAAAACTCAATTGAAAAGAAAACAGAAAATATTCAAAACTAGAACAAATTTAAAATGGATTAAAAGGGAGATCAAATGGTAAAGTGTTCGCTCCATGTTAACCTAACTCCATCTACAGTGATCCACTCACTCGTGGACTGTGCATGACAGCAAGGCTATTCACATCACACAAGAGCCTGGATCCAGGTGTACTTCCCTCCCTCCTTCTTTTTTAAGTGAAACAACTTTTAAATGGGTCAACATGGAGATCAAGTGCTACAATATTACATTTTAACCTAACTATATCTGCCACAATCGACTTTACAGTGGTCTCTGTCTGCTAACCAGGCTTTTCAATGTTGTAATTTTGCAACAACAGGCATCTCCTTTGTCATTGGTTGGAAAAAACAAAAGATAATGTCAGTGTTCATCAAGGATGAGTTCTCATTGATGATACGCAGCACTATTTTGTGCTATACCTGGATTTAACACTAGATGGGGTCGCTCATTCAATCCTCACAACCACCCAGCGACAAAGAAGCTGCAGGGTCACAATGTGCTGGTGAAAGAAGCGGAGGCTTTGGAAAGCCTGAGGCTACACAGCGAGTCCATGAAAGAACTGGGTAGTAAACTGGTAAGAGCGCTTGGTCCTTTAATACCGACTCTTACGTACCCAGAGCTCACCAAACTGAAAAGTGAATCCTTCGGTCCAGGTCCACAACCTCGTATTGGACAAGAGTGATAGCAAGGTACCCTAGACTACCTCCCAGAAGGAGTGAGCATCCCCGGGTTGAGCAGCACACATGCCATCATCTTTCAGCGTAAAGGAAGGATAGTACACTCGTCGTTCTATCACACCCCCAGCCAACTCATAGCAACTCTATACAGGGTTTCCAAGGTTGTACATCTTTTGGGGGGATGGGGGAGGGGCGGAAGGAGGGGTTCAAAGGTTGCTTTATTTATTTATTTAATTAAAAGATCATTTTATTGGGGGCTCTTACAACTCTTATAACAATCCATACATGTCGTATCAGACATATTTGTACATATGTTGCCATCATTCTTTTCTAGATCATTACTTTCTATTAAGCCCTTGGTACCAGCTCCTCTTTTTTCCCTCCCTCCCCCCCACCAACCTCGTGACCCCTTGATAGATTATACATGATTATTATTTTCATATCTCACAAGGACAGTTGTCTCCCTTCTCCCATGGTTGCTGCTGTTCTTCCCCCTGGAGGTGGGGGTGTCATTGTGTGTCGATCATTACCATCAGTTTTCCCTTCCTCACCACCCCACTTCTCCCTACCTTTCTGGGATTGCTATTCCCATTCCTGCCCCTGGATTCCGTGTGCCGTGAGCCCTTAGCTCTTATCTGTACCAGTGTACATGCTCCGGTCTAGTCAGAAGTGAGAGGCAAGCACTGAGGTCATGACAGTGGGGGGTGAGAAGCCTAAAGGAACCAGAGGACTATAGTGGTTTCACCAGTGCTTTACTGCACCCTGGTTGACTCATCCCTCCCCTGTGGCCCCTCTGTGAGGGAACGTCCCATTGTCCACAGATGGGCGTTGGGTCTCTGCTCCGATGCCACTCATTCTTGACCATGTGGTTTTGTTTGCTTATTGTGGGTCTTCTGAGGCCTGTTACTTGGTCGACGGCACCTCATGATTGTACAGGCTGGTGTGCTTTCTCCATGTGGGCTTGCTGCTTCTCTGCTGAATGGCCGCTTGTTTCACTTCAAGCTTTAAGACCCCAAACGCTATATTTTTTAATAGCTCGGAACCATCTGCCTTCTTCACCACATTTGCTCATGCACCCATTTTGTCATCAGCAATTGTACAGGGAGGGTAGGAATCACAGAAGGACAGTGTTAGAACAAGGCATTCTTGTACAGTGAACCCTCACCACTTCGCGCTTCGACTTCCGCGGCTTCACTCTATCGCGGTTTTTGCGTAACAGCGCATGCTCTGTCGTTACTGCCACTGATTGGCTCATACTGTACACGCTTGATGTCATAAATAATATAATAAATAATAAGTGATAATTGTAACGTCCAAAATGTTTTACTGTA